GCTAATCTGTCTCCCAGGTATCCACAGAAAAACAAGTGAAGAGCATTCATGTTGGCACTACACATAGCTATCTCGAAATTGAACTTGCATAGAAAAATACTGTAAAGCCTACAATTTGTCGGATAAAGATGGTACTTAGGCCCATTTTGTCGCGTGTCTATCCTCCAGTTATTCAGCGAAAAACGACCAGAATATGACATGAATATGAGTAATTCAATAAATGGCGAAAATTTCAATATTATCGTATTCTCTAACCCTTAAGGTTTTATATTTATTATATTGGTAATTTTTTATGAGTCAGAAACCGACCAAAAATCAAAATAATGTTAAAATAGTTCCGTTTTAATTTCAACACTTAATTTGAAGACCCTGTATATATTTCTATCCCAATAGCACCGGTTTGGTTCACTTCAGATCGACGTCGTTTTTCCCGTCGTGCCGCGCAACGTTTCGGGAGTCCGATGCGTCGTCAGCATATTTTTCACCACTCGTCCGACGTCTGCATTATTCCGCCGGATATTTGCTGATTTTGCCGTTGTTTATTACTCCATTATACCGAAAGCCTTTCCTTCCCGTATCGGAAGAACAAATCGCACACTGGATAGTTACTTTCCCGGTATAAGCGTTTTTTCAACAAGACTTTTCGACAGCAGTTTCTATTTTTACGGTCGCCGCATACAGGGCGATACATTACTCAATATATTATAAGGGAGAGTGTTTACCCGCATCCTATTTATCCAGGATAAGTTTCATCATTTAGTTAGATGTTTTAATCGTCAGCTAATTTAAAATTATTATATCGTCCGCTATCTCAGCCACACACACTTTTATTATAAGTTATTTTAAAATTTCACTTGCAATAGTTTTCATGAAAAATCATTGTAAAAAACTGACAAATACGGACACATCAATGACTTAACAGGGTTCTCATTGCTCCTTTATTTAGAGGTAAGATCCAGTACCTCTGGGAAGGGAAGAAAAGATCGCAAAATAAAACAAAATATGTGGTATGTTTATCAAGCTTGCACGACAAACTTATCATTTCCTATTGCACTATAATTTGTCACTAATTTGTTACCAGATCCAAAATTTTGTTGCTACAATCGATTATTTCAAAATAGATGAAATGCTAACCCAAATCAAACTCGCAATACACAGCATATATTGAACCAGAAATTGCGCAAAAATTTTATAGGGGCCCTAATTTGTCGCTGAAAAATGGTATATTTTTAGCCATTTATTCTCTATGCTACCCAATAGCTGTTTAAATAAAAAGACTGCCGCTGCACATAGCGTATCTCGAAAAAGAAACGGTGTACAGAAATACTGTAATTGTCGCCAAATGATGGTATTTTTATCCACTTTGTCGCTAGTCTACCCTTCAACCATCCAGCTAAAGATGATGACAGCCGCGAAGCTGTCCCGACACATAGAGTATCTCTAAATAGAAAAGGCGTACAGAAATACTGTGAAGGGTATAATTTGTCGCCGAATGATGGTACTTTTATCCACTTTGTCGCTAGTCTACCCTTCAGCCTTCCTGCTGAAGATGACTAGACAGCCGCGAAGCTGTTCCTACACCTAGCGTATCTCGAAATAGAAAAGGCGTACAGAAATACTGTGAAGGGTATAATTTGTCGCCGAATGATGGCACTTTTATCCACTTTGTCGCTAGTCTACCCTTCAGCCTTCCTGCTAAAGATGACTAGACAGCCGCGAAGCTGTCCCTAAACATACAGTATCTCTAAATAGAAAACGCATACAGAAATACTGTGAAGGGTATAATTTGTCGCCGAATGATGGCACTTTTATCCACTTTGTCGTTAGTCAATCCTTCAATGGTTCAGTTCAGTCAAAGACGATTGACGAACCGAGAAGCTGTTGCGCACATAGCGTAATTTGAAATAAAAAACTGTAATGGGTATAATTTGTCGCTGAATGATGGTACTTTTATCCACTTTGTCGATAGTCTACCCTTCAGCCGTCCAGCTAAAGATGATTAGACAGCCGCGAAACTGTCCCTACACATACAGTATCACTCAATAGAAAAGGCGTACAGAAATACTATAATGGGTATAATTTGTCGCTGAATGATGGTACTTTTATCCACTTTGTCGATAGTCTACCCTTCAGCCGTCCAGCTAAAGATGACTAGACAGCCGGGAAGCTGTCCCTACACATACAGTATCACTCAATAGAAAAGGCGTACAGAAATACTGTAAAGGGTATAACTTGTCGCCGAATGTTCGCACTTTTATCCACTTTGTCGCTAATCTACCCTTCNTACCCTTCAGCCGTCCAGCTAAAGATGACTAGACAGCCGGGAAGCTGTCCCTACACATACAGTATCACTCAATAGAAAAGGCGTACAGAAATACTGTAAAGGGTATAACTTGTCGCCGAATGTTCGCACTTTTATCCACTTTGTCGCTAATCTACCCTTCAGTCGTCCAGTTAAAGATGACTAGGCAGCCGGGAAGCTGTCCCTATACATAGCGTATCTCGAAATAGAAAAGGCGCACAGAAATACTGTAATGGGTATAATTTGTCGCTGAATTATGGTATTTATACCCACTTTGTCGTTATTCAATCCTTCAATGGTTCAGTCAAAGACAATTGACGAACCGAGAAGCTGTCACGCACATGGCGTAATTTGAAATAGAAAACTGTAAAGGGTATTATTTGTCGTTGAAATATGGTACTTTTACCCACTTTGTCGTTAGTCCATCCTACAGCTGTCCAACCAAAGACGACTGGAGAGCCGCGAAGCTGTCCCTACACAAGCGTATCTCGAAATAAAAATGGCGTATAGGAATACTGGGGTATAGTTTGTCGCTGAATAATGGTACTTTTACCCACTTTGGCGTTAGTCAATCCTTCAATGATTCAGTCAAAGGCGATTGACGAACCGAGAAGCTGTCACGCACATAGCGTAATTTGAAATAGAAATAACATATAGAAATACTGTAAAGGGTATTATTTGTCGCTGAAAAATGGTACTTTTACCCACTTTGTCAATAATCTATCGTTTAGCCGCCCAGCCAAAGACACCTTGAGAGCCGTGAAGCCTTCACAGCACATAAAGTACCTCGAAATAAAAAAGGCGTACAAATGCACTGTAAAGGATATAATTTGTCGCTGAATAATGGTACTTTTATCCACTTTGTCAAGTTTCTTCGTCATATAACTTGTACCTATTTACTTCCGAAAAATTTAATTTACAAACAGGATGGCAGATAAGTAGCATCTACGTACTTATAATGACTTACGTAATAAGTGAAGTACTTTAAAATAAATAAACTATGAAGCACCTCTTCACGACATTAAAAGTACATTTCAATTTGATCGTTTTCAATTGCCTGATTAAGGAATTTTATTTTGAAAATTCAATAATCAACCTACGCATGTTAAAATCAATTATCATAGGTAATAACATGTACTAATTGGTAATTTAATTGATCAGGCTTTTTTTCTCAAATACCTAATTGAATTTTTTTGCCAATTTGATAAAACTTCTTTGATATAACTATTTATCCAAATCTAACGATTGTGACTGTAAAAAAGCAATAGCCATTATTAATGGTACGCCACTGTATACGAATGTAATCTATTTATTAAAAAAAAAAGACGCTGACGGAAAAATAACTACAAAATGCTTACGAAATGTACTTATTGTAGAAATTGTTTTATTTTGGTAAATGTTTATCTGATATCCAGGGTTCCCAGTATTTGCAAATTATTTTGGTTTGACTTAAATAGGTAAATAACTTATTATTAAATTAATAAAGACACGATTACAATACCAAAATTGGTTTTTAAAAATAATTGTTAGAGAACAATAAATAAATAATTTAAGTAACAGATTACTTATTAACCAATTTTTTCCCAACTGAGAAATTAGAAATGATTAATAGAAATCTAAAATACCTAATAGGGAGATACTTTCACCAAGTCATTAAGTAATAGCTTAGCTGGTAAATAAGTGTGTTCAATCGATTTTTTCTCTTGTTAAATGAATGTACATGTCGCATGTTTCTGTTTTATGTTTGGATAGATATACGAATAGATATTTTTCTTGTTTCACAACGGCTTTTACTTTTTTTTAGGCTTTCTTATGTCGGCATATAAAACAGTCGACGGTAACGCTTCAATATTCAGGTCATTGCCAACTATTACGGCAAGTGAAAAGTTGCTGCGGTATAATTCGGTTTTGTACCTACATTCAATTTCTCGAATGCAAGAGAGTTTGTAAGTAAATAAATAGCTGCTGAGGCCTGTAGCACTCTCGGTATTGCTGTGGTGGTGAACTCGAAAAGACTCCCACTACGATTATATTAATAACTTCACTTTTCCCGATAATAATAATATATCGCTTCTCAAACGTATCATTAATAAAAACCGATCAAAGAAAAAAATGATACCTACAGGCGCTTTAACCTAATTAACTTCCGCCTTAAGTTAATTAACATAATACATAGGTATTAAAAAATTAAATCAAGAGACATTGTTCAAAAGTGAATACAACATACACCAGTATGTATACAAAAGACTAACGCCTGTAAAGAAAGTAAAACAAAAAGCTACGAGCAATGTCAAACGGAAACAGTAGAGAATTAACAAAGATGGTACATTCATAATAATATGTAAGTGAGTGTAGGAAGGTAATGAGTAGGCAGATGTTTGGATCACAATCGACGTTATTTTTTTTTATAGAATAATGTAACTTGTGAGTATCGCTGTAAACGGCAGTTGTTACGTTAGCGGGTTGATCGTGATGGGAAAGTACATGCGACCATATAATCTTAGCAAATGCGAAAAAATGCCGGTAAAAGTGAACATGTACTAGATTGGAATTCCACACACATCGACACGGGGAACATCTGCCTCGTTACTTCATATTTCGAACAAGTCGGAGTGTAATCGATTCGTTAAAAGTAGGCCTACCGCGTCATTTATACTAATTTATACGAAAACTAGAGGATTTCTTAGAGTTGTCTTACCTTACAGCAAAATGAGCGTGATAGAAACAAAGACAAGCCGTAGCCACGCTGTTGATATTGCAAGATTCACAGGCTGTACCTCCTATTAAACACACAAACACTCACACTAACCTACAACAGTACACACGGGAAGGGTTAAAGTTTTTGTTTGAAACACAATTATCAATTAATTGTCGAATTAAGGACCCACTTTCGTAATTTTCTCGAAAGATTGTTAAGCTGCACACACATCCCCACTTCTAAATACCAAAATGGCGGACGCGAACTGTTTGCATTCGGAAACAGTACCGTTGTTTCGCCTATAATCGACACCCCCTCCTCCTCGCACCAGGACGACTACTGATAAAACTAAAAGTTTTTAATTGCAAGATTGAAAGTTTCGAAATTAACGAAACTTGCTCTTTAATTGTAACTATATGAAATTTATACTTTAAAACACTTTAAAAAAATTATACAAAGTTAATTAAGCTGTTACTTAAATTATTTATATAAATAAAACGATAAAAAGTTTATCACTTTTAATTAATCCGAGAAGATATAAAGAGTAGGTTGATAAATGATTAAATATGATTCATTTAATTTTAAATCAATATACTTATTATTAATCAAATAAAAAATATATCGAAAACAAAAATATTATTAAGCATCCAATCATTTTTAAAGGTGCACAAAATTTATTAATTTAATACAAATTATTTAAAGCATTATTGTTTAATTACTGATTAATTTTAATGCTCATTTGCTGAAAAAAAAGATAAAATTAATAAATAAAATATGTAGAAGTAACTTTTTAGTTTACGAAGATTTTATGTTGGCAATACACCTTGAAATTGGCGCGCGTTTGGTTTTGAGGTTATTGTTTGGAAAGGTAACTTATTTTGAAATTAATTAATTATTTTTTAATGGCAATTGATAGAAAACCTGTGCGATATGCACATTCTGATGGTCACACTGATGTATCGTATTCTGAAGATGGGACGTAAGTCCAAGCAATTTTTTTTCCAGATTCTCCATTTACATTAATGTTGTCTCCACAGGAAGTTATTAACTTGTGGTACTGATGGTGATATACGCATATGGCATGGTTTTGATGATGATGATCCTGTGCAGACGTGTGTTGGAGATTGGAATTTGTGCATACGACAAAAAGGGAACAATATTTTTGTAGCCACTGACAACAACGATATACAAATATTAACTTATCCTGAAGCCGAAAGAAACGGTGTTTTAGTAAGATGTACGGCTCATATAAACCACATTGTTGTAGGAAAAGATAATGTTAGTTACAGTTTTGCTGGTTTATGTTGGTTTTAATTAGAAATATCTTGTAGACTATTGCAGCTGCTTCAGAAGACATGGAAGTAAAGATTATTAAATTAAGTGATTCTGAAGACAGCCATAATGAAACTGTTGCATTTGGTGACATAAAAGGTCCTCCTTTAAGTGTTGCCCTTTGCCCAAAAGGAAGATTCTTGGCAGTAAGCTGTGGAGACGGAAATTTATATGTTTGGGAAATAAGTACTAAAACATTAGTGAAGACATTTGCAGTTGTTCCTAAAGTTAATAGCTTCATGAACGCTAAAATCCTTTGTAAGAAGTATAATACTTTTAAGATTGCTGTTTTCATTGTAGTGATTATAGGTAGAATTGATTTTGACCCTGAAGAAGGTAGAATGTTAGCATATCCGGATAAAAATAAAATCATCATCTTAAATACATTCGACTGGTCAGAAAAATTAACATTAACAACAACAGATGTGGATTTGTCATTTTCAATTGTACAATATTCTCCATGCGGAAGATATTTAGCTGCTTGTTCTCTGACTGGGGATATAGTAGTCTGGGAGGTATTTTCACAAAATCTTGTTGATGTTTCAAGACATTCAAAGCCTATTGCTTTGTGTGCTCTTGTATGGAATCCATTAGGTATATAATAACAAAAACTTTTATCCTTTTGGTAAGTTAATTTCTTTGTATTTGCTTACAGGCAATGGTGAACTTGCATTTTGTGACACTGAAGGACAGTTGGGAATAGCTTCAAATTGCACCCAACTGCTAGATACAATAGATCAAATTATTCCAAGGGCTGCAGAAGGGCAAAAAGATGTAGATTTCTCTGGATTTCAATTTGAGGACAATGATTTTGATGAAGATGATGAAAATACAGTTTCAATTAACAAACTTAAGGATGAAACAATGAGGTCTGCTGAACCAGAATTGGAATCTGTAAAAGGTAATTAAAGTATGCTTTACTTGAATGACAATTGTCTTGTTATTATTTATTATTATTTAGCAGGTACATCTAGGTCTTCAACACCCAGGCCACGAACTCCTGCAATTCCTTTACAGCCTCCTTTCATGCCTTCCTCCACACCAGAGCATCTTTGTCCTCGATATTTGTGCTGGAATGAAGTTGGAATAGTGCAAAGTTTTGGGAACGAAGATTTAGGAGAAAGTAAAAGTATAGAAGTGGAATTTCATGACACTACATTCCATAATAGCATTATGATGCCCAATTTTCAAGATTACAGCATGGGCTGTCTTAGTACAGTCGTTGTGTGTGTTGCTAATTCTAGGTGAGGTTGACACTAAATTTTATAGTAATCCTGTTATTTATTTATTATCTCAATCTGGTTTCTTTTTTTTACTGATGAGCTTTATTGGATTTATATATAAGAAAACAAAAATAAACGTAGCTGTTGTAAATTATATATATAACAATTCTATTCAATCTATCGTAGATATAATCACTTAAAATTATAATAATTATAAAGACCTTGTTGTTATTACCAATAATGGAACATGTTAACTATTACACTTCTGTTTTATTTCAGTCAAATCAGCGTATTAGTACTTAGTTCTGGTAGCAATGAATGGACTCAATCTGTGCCAGATTCTGAAGAAATAATTTGCTGTGCATGTTCGGATCGTTTAGTTTCTTATGGCACAAATGCGTATACTGTGAGGGTTTCTACGGTTTATGGTACACAAAAAGGGGTTTTCAAGACTCCCGGGCCTATTGTTTGCCTAGCCGCAAGAGGGCACGCCGTCGCTGTGGTGTACCACAAGGGACCAGTCAGGCAAATGGATATGTGCTTGGGACTTATATTGGTGGACTTTTCAGGTAAATTAGGAAACATTGAAAAGAAAATGCCAAACCCAGTGGTATATTAACTTTATTTACAACGTTCTGCTTTAGGTCTGATACCTTCAAGTAAGCAGCTAGACTGTCCCATAAGTCCGGAGTCAACTTTGCAATGGTTGGGACTGACTGACTTTGGTAATCCTGCAATACAAGATTCGATGGGGATTCTGTCGTTGTATGTGATGAATTCTAACATCTGGGTTCCCTTCTGTGATACTACTAAACAAGTACTGATTAATCTTACACGATTATATCAATTTTGTTAAGAACCGTCTTTGCAGTTAGTCAATTTTTTAATAAAATTCTGCTTTCTGTTGCAGGTGACGAATGCTTCTGATGGATTCTTCATTACTGCTGTTTTTGAATCAAACCAGAGTGTAAGGGGAGTCCGCTGCAAGGGCAGTATGTATCCCGGGTTCATACCACGTCCCACTCAAAGTGAAATACATCTTGAGGCTGCCTTTGCTGAAATGGATACCGAAAAAGCTCAACTGGAAGCAAATTTGTTTACTTGGTCGTCTCTAAACGTGGAAAATGTGGAAAGAAAGTATAAAGAAAATGCCATGAAATTATTTTCGGTAATAGTATAAAAGAAAATTTTTAACTCTTGAACCCTCAAAATGACACCTAGGCTACAATTTAAAACTAAAAAAATGTTGTAGTTATTTGTTATTTCATATTATTAAAAATTTCAGCTTGCCTGTCAAAATAATTTGGATCTAAGGGCATTCGAATTGATGACAATGTTAAACAATCCTGTTTTGGTGACATTGGCCATGAAATATGCTACTAATGCAGATAAGAAAAGACTTGCTGAGAAATTACTATCCCTTGCCTCTACATTGAGACAGAGCAGTGCAGAAACTCCAGCTACAAACCAAAATGTAAAAAAAATATTTTTTTTTTGTATGAACTTTTGTATGTTTATTTTTATTCCTCAGGCAAATTCAGAAAATTCTACTCCAATAAATGCTACGATCCAATCTAAAAAATTGTCGTTAAGTAGTACTTATAAGTTGAAGCAAAAAATGAAACGGATTACCCAGGAAAAGGTATCAAGTATTATGAAAACAAAAATGATTTAGGTAATTAATAACATTTCTTTTTTGTAGAGTTCTGAAAATAACGTAGATGCTGTAAGAGATTCTTCGCAGGTATTTTTTTGGACTAATTTGTAGTAATAAAAGTTTCTGCTCTAGTTAGACCTTTCCCCGTTTCCCTATATCATTTGATAAACTGACCCGTAGGACATATAGTACAGGCTGTCCTCACTTTGATGGCTCATTAATACAATTTATATTTCATTCTTCTTGTTTTAGGACCAAACAGATACAACTGCAAGCAATAAAACACTTAACGACACAATCGCAATAGACTCGCAGGTAAGCTATTGTACATGCAATAGGTATATGTATTACTTTTAAAATAATCGTTAATAACAATTTTTGTAGGAGTCGTTATTCGCAGAAGAAGAGCCTCCGAGAAACCCGTTTTTGAAAAGCCTGAAAAAACCCGATTCTAATTCGTCGCATTCTCAATCACCTACCTTAAATAATAAGAAAAAGGATAAAGAGAATGATAACACTTATTCAAATAAAGTAATTCATAGAAAATTAACCTGGTTGTTGTTAATATGTATTTTAATTGTCTGTTTT